TAGAGGATGAGGCCTAGGAAACAATATCCTATAGGGGAGAAGTGATAGGAAGTCCAAACTTCAAATTTGTAGGACTTAAATAGCAACCAGTGTAGATTAAAGCAGAAGAATGGAGAATCCAGGAGAGGAAATTAAATCAATAGGTTATTTTAATGCTTTGAGGGCACCTAGAAAATAGTATTGATAGATGTTTGAAAGATCTGCTGGGATTCTGGAAATATTGGTGGTCCATTCTTGAAATTAAGGTAATGAAGGAATAAGGCAACAATTGACTTTATTAAAGCACTGTTGAAGAAAAAATGTAATTATAGTTTGCTATTTGCCTTGGCAATAAATAGTTACATACGCACACTATTGATTGAACCATTGTTTTTTATATAACTTTTTTGTGGGGAAAGGGGGTAGGGATTACATAGAATGATAGAAGAAAGCTACTTATTTTGCCGTAATAGCAAATCAATAGGTAATATCTTGACAAATCAGTAATAATATAAGCATATTATTTAGCAACATACAAAGTAAATGTCAGAAGAAATGGCCAAAAATGTTAAATATGTTGTCTCTGGAAGCAGTATAAAGAATGGGACTGAGATTTGCTGTTTTTATTATAATGTGCCATCTGTCTTTTAAACTACATATATTATTTTGGATGAAAATAAAGTAATTTTTAAAATAATGATGTACATAGATAATAAATATATACAAGTAAGAGGAAAGCAAGGAGCCCCTGGTATTGACTATGGTTAAGCACTTGGCTGCTAGCAGAAATGTTGGCAGTTTGAACCCACCAACTACTCAGCAGGAGGAAGATACAGCAGTCACCTTCTGTAAAGAGTTCAGTCTTGAAATCCTATGGGGCAGTTATAACCTATTCTTTAGGGTCACTATGGGAGCTCTGGTAGCATAGTGGCTAAAGCACTTGACTGCTAACCAGAATGCTGGCGGTTCAAACCCACCAGCCACTCCTCGGAAGGAACGTTGGGCAATCCTACTTCCGTAGTGATACTGCCTCGGAAACCCAAGGAGGGGTCGCTATGAGTTGGGTTTGACTCGACGGCACATAACAACAACAACAACATGAGTCAGAATTGACTTGACAGAAACAGCATTTGGTTTGGTTTTTTAAAAGACAAGCCAGTGGCTTTAGCTTTGCCTCTAAAACAGAAATTACTGAATGAATTCCTAAGTAATTTTATGAAATCTTTTAAATTGCTTGCCAGCTAAATGTACAAATTCTTACTAATGCCCTCTCTTCTAATGATAGCTGCCCTATCATCCTTTAAGGGGAATAGTAGTTATTAATAAACAGTATAACAAAATAATTGCAGATATATTCCAATTGCATATTTATAACGCTAATTCAGTAAAGTGAAAAGAAACACCAACAGTGCTGATACTGACTTGCAGAGCCTTATTCCTTATGTACATTCGTACTTCACAGAAAAGTATGATCTGTTGTTGTTAGGTACCATTAAGTCACTTACTACTCATAGTTACCCTGTGTATAGCAGAAGGAAACATTGCCTGGTTCTGCATCGTCACAATCATTGCTGTGTTTGAGCCCATGTGGCAGCCATTTTGTTGTTCCATGTTGTTGAGAGTCTTCCTCTTTTTCACTGACACTAGGTTGGGCAATCTGCTTCCATAGTGATACTACCTCAGAAACCCAAGGAGGGGTCGCTATGAGTCCAGGCTGACTCGAGGGCACTTAACAACAACAATACTTTACTAAGCATGATCTCTTTCTCCAGGGACTGGTCCTTCCTGATAACATATCCAAAGTGAGACAAAGTCTCACCATCCTCACTTGCAGCCTTCTGGCCATATTAAAGATACTTGTTTGTTCTTCTGTCATATTCAATATTCTTTGCCAACACCATCATTTAAAAGCATCAGTTCTTCTTTCATCTTATTTGTTGTCCAGCTTTCACATGCTAAGACCTGCTTAAAAACAAACCAGTTTTGTTGTTACAGAGTGATATCAGAGCCAAAGAGGAATTTTTTGAAGTGTAACTACAAGTATAGAAAAGTTTTAAATAAGATGCAGTGGTATAGTAAGAGTTTAAAGAATCAGTGTTGTTCCAGTTTTGTAGGGAAAGGTAATTAGATATTTGAATGTGTTGATCACTTGACTCTTTAAAGAAAGTGAAAGTCTGAATAAGGTTAAAGATTATCTTTCTTTAAAACATACCTCTTTCAGTTATATGCTTTGTTGTATGTAGTTTCACCATAGTCATGTTTAGAAAACCTACTTTGAATAGAAGACTTCTACCTAGGCAGTAATACTATTTTCAGTTGGGAAAATCTTACGGAAGAATATAAAATGTGAAATGTCTCAAACTAAAAAAGATAAAAGAGTTAAAATTGGAAATGTGGAGGCTGTCAGAGCATCCAAGTAACTGACTTCAACTTCATTTCCAGTCTTACCTCCTCATTCAGTGCCTAGGCCAGTTGACTGTCCTTTCTTAGCTTCTCTTCCTGTAGTACTCCTGGTCTCCCTATTATTTCTCTCCACACCTAGCATGCCTATGTGAAATACTGTAAGTTCTTTAAGGTGCAGTCAAGTGTTATCTTTTGTACAGTACTTAGTTTGATTCCCTGTTGGCTGGTAGTACTTTCCTCTATTGAACTCTCATTGTTTTAAGTTCTGTGTTAAGCTTATTTTTATAATATGCCTTATGTCTCAGAACAGGAGCAGCATCTTCTCTGTTTTTTCTGTCCTCCAGAGTACCTTACATGTACTAAGTGTTCTGAGAAGTTTTAACATATAACAAAAAAAAAAAAAAAAAATTGCCATTTTAACTATTTTAAAGTGTTGAATTCAGTGATAATTCATTACCTCAAACAGAAACTCAATTCCTCTTCAGTAATAACTGCCCATTTCCTTCTCTCCTTAACTCTTGATAACGACTAACAACTTTTGTCTCTGTGTATTTGCCTATTCTATTTGCATATAGTATTTATCCTTTTGTATCATACTTATTTCAGTTCACATAATATTTTTAAAGGTTAACCATGTTATAACATGTATCAGAACTTCATTCCTCTTTATGGCTGGATAATGTTCCATTGTGTGTATGTACTACATTTTATTAACATCTTCTGTTGGTGGACTCTGGGGTTATTCCTACTTTTTGACTATTAAGAGTATCTCAGAGAGTTTTTGATTTGGCTATTACATAGATTCAAGGTTTAACAAAGCAGCCCTTTTTAAAAGTAAATTATTTTGTTTACTAGGTTAACAATCTTACCTGAATCCTTACTACTACCACCCTTCCCACCTACCACCATGTGTACCATGTGTGTAGGGTATTTTCTTTAGTTATTCCTGACAGCTAACTTTTTAATTTTTGTCTTTCAGTCTTACCTCCTGTATTAGTGCCTCGTCATAATGAATTCAATCCACAACATAGCCTTCTGGTTCAGTTTAGGAACCTGAGCCACAATGAACCTCACATGCCACAGAATGCCACGTTTGCAGATTCTTTCCACCAACCCAACAATACTCCTTTTCCCTTATCACCAAATAGTCCTTATCCCCCTTCTCCTGCTAGCAGCACATATCCCAACTCCCCTGCAAGTTCTGGACCAGGAAGTCCATTTCAGCTCCCAGGTAAGAATTTGTTTTATTGGTACAAAAAAATCATCCCTGAGAGTTAGCAGTTGTTCTTAACTGCAGGTCCTCTGGGTGAACTATTACATGTCAAGAGCAAGCTGTTTCTAACTCTGTTTTCTATAATTAATCATTTGTTTTCCAGAAGAGTTCGGATTTGACTAAAGTATATGTTTAAAAAATGGTACTAGTCACATTTGATTTACATGTTTTTATATAACTTAAAACACTAAATAGCACATATAGTTAAGCTCATGACTAGTAGTCAAATGGGTGATGGTTTGAATCTACCCAGAGGCACTGGAAGATAGGTCTGGCGATCTACTTCCAGAAAGTCACAACCTTGAAAACCCTATGGAACAATTCTCCTCTGCTCGTGTGGGGTCACCATGAGTTGAAATTGACTCAGTGGCAGCCAGCAACAATAACAGCAATAAAACTGACTACCATTTATTGAGTGCTTGTTGTATAACTGATGCTGTGATGAAAGCTATTATTATATTAAATCTGATATTCAGAACAACTGTGTGAAAATACGTATTATGTCTGTTTTACAGATGGAAAATGAAATTGATACTAACCATGGCAGTATAAATTATAAAGTCACATAGCTAAGTAGGGTTTCAGACCTAGGTTTGTTTGATTCTAGAGTCTGTGCTCTTTCAACTTGATTACATTACTTTTCAAGTCATTTTGGACTTGGAAGTTTAAAATGAACCTTGGTTATTTTTAATTAGATAAATAATGAACTGATTTTTCTGTAAGATTAAGTTATAATATCTCAAAATTTTGTTAATGGCATATCATGTATGGTCACATTATATATCTGTCAAGAAATATTTGAACACTTAATTTCTGTCAGGCACAGTCATACGTAAATGAATTCTTTTGGTTCCTCTACTGCAGCAAAATATTAATTGATAAAATTTTTATGTTTTTGTTGAGGGGAATTAAATAGCAGCTGTTGAACTTGTTATTAGGAATTTGTTCAAAAACTGATTTCTGTACTTCATCTAAGATTCAGTGCAGATTATGACCTGTGTCAAAATACACCCTGTACAAACTTGGAGTGAAAGACAAATTATATTCAGTATATTATAGTTACTGAGACAAAGAAATATAGTTGCAGCTTTTGCAAAGATTTTCAACGAGTGTTTGAACTCAAAAGATTGTTCTGCTTAACATTCAGTTTCCTAAGAATGACCTTAATAAGTACACAGCAGCTATTTTTGGAGATTGTAAAAGAATTAGACAAGTGCTGCTAGCATTGATGGCAAACATGAAGGGGAATAAGTTTATTTCCAATTTTAAGTAACAATACACACTATGTGATAATCTTGATTTTTTTTTTTTTTAATAAAAAAGATTACTCCATAGATATATACCCATATGAGGATCATCCATGTCCTTCAAATTGATTTGCAGTAGCAGCAGTTTCTCCAAATGCATAATCCTGAATAAATAAATGCAAAATTCTTAATCTTCAGTTCTACTTTTAGCACTGATCCTTTTCTTGGATAACCAGGGATCTGGATAAATAAATGTCTGCTTGTAGTATGTTTTTAGTAGATTTTAGATGTGCTGTCTTTCTTCTTTACCCTTGTACTTGGGTACCATCCTACATTTTTTTTGTGTGTGTAATATTCAGTAATGAGCCCTACTGATAATCTTACTAATTTTTTAATGCTTTTAGAGTAAAAACTTTGAGCAGAATGAAAATTTTAACTATATTTTTGGGACCCTAACTTGTTTCATTTTCTGCCTCTTAGCTGATACTCCTCCCCCTGCTTATATGCCACCCGATGATCAGATGGGCCAAGATAATTCCCAGCCTATGGATACCAGCAGTAATATGATTCCTCAGATTATGCCCAGTATATCCAGCAGAGGTAAGAGAAATACTCACCGTATTTATTTTGTTGTCGTTTTTGTTTTATTAAACTTCCTGCTCACTTTTAAAAATAACTATTGAAATACAACTTACATACCATAAAATTCCCATTTTAAGCATACAATTCAGTGATTTTTAGTAAATGTATAAACTTTTACACCATCACCACAATCTGTCTGAACACTTCATATAAATATTCTGTCTAGTCATTTGCAGATGGCTTCTTTCATTTAGCGTATTGTTTTCAAAGTTCATGCTTGTGATAGCATATATAAGTAGTTTGTTCCTATTTGTTACTGAATAGTATTCTATTGAATAGATGTACCACATTTTGTTTATCCTTTCACCAGTTGATAGGGATATGAATTTTCCAGTTTTTGGCCTTAATGAACAATGCTGTTCTGAAAATGTCTTTGTGTGAAAATATCATTATTATTTCTCTTGGGTAAATCCCTGGGAGTGGAATTGCAGAGTCATGTGATGAGTTTATGTTTAAGAAAAAGTGCCAACTGTTTTCTACAGTGTCTGCACCAATTTGTTTTACCAGCAGTATATGAGGGTTCCAGTTTCTCCACATTCTCCTAGTACTTATTATTGTCTGTCTTTCTGATCATAAATATTCTAGTGGGTGTAAAGGGCTATCTCTTTGTAGTTTTAGTCTATATTTCTCTAATGAATAATGATGTTGAGGATCTTTTTATGTGCCTGTTAACCGCTCATGTACAGGCATACCTCCGAGACATTGCAGATTTTGTTCCAAACCACTACAATAAAGCATATATCTCAATAAAGCAAGTCACAGGAATTTTTTTGGTTTCCCAATACATATGAAAGTTATATTTACACTATACTGTGGTTTATTAAAGGAGCTCTGGTGGTGCAATGGTTTTAAGGCATTTGGCTATTAACCAAAAGTTTAAGCAGTTTGAACCTACCAGCTGCTCTGCAGGATAAAGGTGAGGCAGTCTGCTTCCATAAAGATGAACAGCCTTGGAAACTGTAGGGATCACTATGAATCGGAATTGACTTGATGGCAGTGAGTTTGGTTTTGGTTTTTAGTAGTCTATTAAGTGTGTAGTAGCGTTGTGAAAAAGTTTGAAATATTGTGAGAATGACCAAAATGTGACACAAACACAGAGTGAGCACATGCTATTGGAAAAATGATGCCAATAGACTTAATAGATGCAGGGTTGCCACAAACCTTCAATATGTTAAAAATGCAGTTGCCAACTGTGGTAAAATGAAGCACAATAAAACAAGGTGTATGCCTATATCTTCTTTGGTGAAATGTCTATTTAAATCTTTCTGTATTTTTTTTTTAAATAATTTATTTTATTTATCTTTTTGAGAATATACCCAGTTAAAACATACACCAGTTCACTGATTTTTATAATTGTACAATTCAATGACATTTACTTATTTTTTAACTAGGATGTATGTCTTCTTATTAGTAGTAAGGGTTCCTTATATATTCCAGATAAACCCAAACCAACCCATTACCGTCAAGTTAATTGCAATCATAGCATCCTCCTTAGGGTTTTCTTGACTATAATCTCTACAAAAGTGGATTGCCAGGCTTTTCTTCCATGGTACCACTGGGTTGGTTTGAATTGTCAACCTTTTGTTTTGTTGTTGTATGCCACTGAGTTGATTCTAACTCATAGTGACACTGAAAGAGAGTTGAACTGCCTCAGAGGATTTGCAAGGCTATATAATTTTTATGGGAGCAGATCACCACATCTTTTCTCCCTTGGAGGCTCTGGTGGTTCAAACCAGAGCTTCACACCAGTTCAAAATGGTTTAGTCATGGTCAACAGAAACAAAGGCATAGCAACCATATCTCATTGGAGTTTGACCAGAGTAGGAAGCAGAAAGCAGTGCCCCACTACAAAGATGGTGACTAATCATACTGCTTTGAATGTTTTCCTCCTTGGGTCAAAATCTGATTAGAAAAGATTTTGGTTGCTATGTACTGTGTATGTTGCCCTTGTTTTTGTCAGCCATGACTGAACCATTTTGAACCTGTTCAAAGCCCTGGTTTGAATTGCTGACCTTATGGTTAACAGCCGAACTCTTAACCATTGTGCTACTAGGGCTCCTTTCTAGATTCGTAGTCAAGCACAACTGCTTGTGCCACCAAGGGACCTTTGTGTTCTGATTATGAATCCTTTATCAGATACATAATTTGTAAATATTTTCTCTCATTCTGTGGCTTATCTTCATTTTCCTTATTAAGACCTTTGAAGCACAAAGTTTGCAATTTTGATGAAGTCCAATTTATCTTTTTTTTTTCTTCCTGGATTGTGCTTTTGGTGTTACATCTAAGAAATCTTTGTCTATTCCAAGGTCATGAAGATTTTCTCCTATGTTATTTTCTAGAAGTTTTATAGCTTACACTCTAACATTTTGGTTTATGATTCATTTTGAGTTAATTTTTGGGTATGATATGTGATAAGGGTCTACATTCATATTTTTGCCTGTATATCCAGTTGCTTCCAGCACTGTTTATTAGAAAGAGTATCATTTCTTTATTGAATTGTATTGGCATCCTTGTCAGAATACAGTTGGCCACAAATGTAAGGCTTTATTTTAGGACTAACGGTATTGTTCTGTTAATCTATATATCTGTTCTTATACCATTGTCTCATAGTCTTGATTACTAAAGCTGTATAGGGAGTTTTGAAAATGGGAAGAGTTAGTCCTTCAACTTAGTTCTTTTTCAAAATAGACTATTGTGTGTTCTTGTGTTTTCATGTAATTTTAGCATCAACTTGTCAGTTTCTGCAAAAAAACAAAGCAACAAAAACCCTGCTTGGATTTAGGTAGAGGTCACATTGGAGGAGATTTGCCAGTGCAGGGACATGGACTGTCTCTCTATTTAGTTAAATCTTCTCAGTTTTCAGTATACAAGTCTTACTCTTCTTTTGTTAAATTTATTCCTAAGTGAATGGAATTGTTTTTAAGATTGTAGTGAAAATATATACACCACAACATTTGCCAATACAATTTCCATAATTACAATTCAATGAAATTAATTTTATATTGTGTCATCACTATCACTGTCCTTTGCATAGTATTCTACCACCATTAACATGAACTTTATGCCCCCAGACAAAAACTCCCCCTTTAACTCTCCTTCCCACCCCTGATAATCATGGTTTCTTTATACTTGCTTATATACTTATACTGTCTATATACTTCTATATATCTTTGGCTTCTATATACTTGCTTATTTCATATAAGTGAGGTCATAAAGTATTTGTCTTTTGTAACTGACTGACTTCACTCAGCATGTTTTCAAGATTCATCTGTGTTGTGGCATGCATCAGGTCTTTCATGTCTCTTTATAGATGCATAATATTCCATTCTGTGTATATGACACGGTTTTTATCCATTCATTTGTTGATGCACATTTTGGTTGTTTCTACCTTTTGGCTCTTGTGAACAGTGCAGCAGTGAATATTGGTGTACAGGTTTCTGTTTGCATTTCTGCCTTCATTTTTGCATATGTACGTGGGATTGGGATTGCTGGGTCATATGGTAGTTTTCCATGTTGAACTTTTTGAGGAACTGCCAAACCGTTTTCTACTATGGCTACACCATTTTACATTTCTGCCAGCAATGGATGTGGGCTCTTGTTTCTTTACAACTTTGCCAATACCTGTTGATTTTCTTTTCTTCTCTTTTTTAATCACTACTGTTCTAATGGGATTGAAAGGAAAAAGGTATCTCCTTGTGATTTTGATGGAATTGTTTTTTAATTTCTTTTTTGGATTATTCTTTTAAGTTAGTACAGAGAAATACAGCTGATTTTTTTTATGTTGTTATTGTAACTTGTGACCTTGCTGAACTTGTTTATCAGTTCTAGTATAGTTGATTTTGTTAATGTGTGTATGTGGGTTCCTTAGGGTTTTCTACTTATAAAATCATGTAGTCTGTGAATAAAGTTTTAATTCTTTCTTTCCAACCTGAATGCCAGTAATTAATCAGTCTCTCATTGTTAAAGAGCATCTGTTTAACCTTCTCCATACTATTCTTATAACTTCCTGCTACTCACTTGTATTTGTTTTTGATTATGGACTCCTCTTTATCCCATCTTTTATATAATGTTCTTTAAAATACCAACTCTTAATGACATCTCTGTATGGTTCCACATTAGTTTATTTTCCTCCTTATCTGAATTATTTTCAGTTGAATGATGAAAGTTGAGTTTTCAAAGCTGTGGTACCTATGTAGGCCACATGACTACTTTTAAATTTTTTTCTGATGTTTTTGATCCTTGTCTTTCTTGAAAGAAATTGAGAGTCCATGATTCTTCTGACTGCTTTCAGCACTGGGAAAACCTTACTAGCACAGGATGAAGAACTTCTGTGTTTCCCTCTCAACCATTATGCCCATTATGAGTTGTTGACTTTTACACTAATTAAGAATTTGACCAGCATTTTATATTATGTTTATAATATAAACTAGGCAGTTTGACACTTAACATTTAAATTTATACCTCTCTTTAATTCGAAGATTTGCTCACTTAGTTTTGTATTTCAAATTTTTGTTTAGAATAATTTTTATTGATATTAAATCTTTCAGGTTGCTAAAACAGAGGTTTGCCGTCTCAAATTTAAACCTAGATTAGATTCTGCTAGAAAAACAATTTAAAATGTGATGTTTCCTTTCTTTGTGTGTCTGTAATGTTTAAATTGTCATATTCAAGGCTATGTCTGCTGTTTGATTTTTTGGATATAGACTCAAAGCCTATATGGGAGCTCTGGTAGCATAGTGGCTAAGACACTTGCCTGCTAACCAGACGGCTGGTGGTTCAAACCCACCAGCCACTCCTCGGAAGGAAGGTTGGGCAATCCTACTTCCTTAGTGATACTGCGTCAGAAACCCCAGGAGGGGTCGCTATGAGTCGGGTTTGACTCGACAGCACATAACAACAACAACAGCAACAGACTCAAAACCAAGAAAGACCGTGAAACTTAGTAAAAATTAAGTGAGGAAATTGAAAAGTTTCTTTTTCATATGGATTTTCTGATAATCATTCATTAAATTTTTTTTGTTTGTTTTGTTCATAGATGTTCAGCCTGTTGCCTATGAAGAGCCCAAACATTGGTGTTCAATTGTCTACTATGAGTTAAACAATCGTGTTGGGGAAGCTTTCCATGCATCTTCTACTAGTGTTTTAGTGGATGGATTCACAGATCCTTCAAATAACAAAAGTAGATTCTGCTTGGGGTTGTTGTCAAACGTTAATCGTAATTCCACGATTGAAAATACTAGGCGACATATTGGAAAAGGTAATCTGATGTTTTCCTGCATTCAGTTGAATTCAGTCATTTGTTGTTCTTTCTGTGTACCATGCATCTTGTAAGGTACTTGTTGTTGTTGTTGTTGTTGTTATGTGCCGTAAAGTCAGACTCGACTCATAGCGAGATCCCTCCTTGGGTTTCCGAGGCAGTATCACTACAGAAGTAGATTGCCCCATCTTCCTTCCGAGGAGTGACTGGTGGGTTTGAACTGCCAGCCTCTGGTTAGTAGTCACGTGCCTTAGGCACTATGCTACCAGAGCTCCCTGTAAGGTACTAGAAGCATGCAAAAACTCTTAAGACATGGTCTCTGCCCTCAAGTCATGGATATCGAAGAATGTAATAATCAAGTAATCACATCCCTCTTCCTTATCTTGCTTTGTTTTTCTTTATAGTACTTAGGATAGGATCTGAAATTATATTCCTTCTTTGTTTATTTTTTGAGTGTCTCCCTGACTGGAATATGAGTTTTTTATAAGAGT